CTTTGCCCTTCCCCAGTCTTCATGACTTTGCACTTGGTGGGATTGAACTCCAGGAGCCAATTGCTGGACCAGGTCTGCAACCTGTCCAGATCCCTTTGTAGTTCTGCCTGGTCTTCGATCGAATGAATTCTTCTCATCAACTTCACGTCATCTGCAAACAGGGACCCCTCGGAGTCTATTCCGTCCGTCATGTCGTTCACAAATACCAGAAACAGCACTGGTCCTAGGACTGACCCCTGTGGGACCCCGCTGGTCACAGGTGCCCACTCTGACACCTCGCCACGTACCATGACTCGCTGCTGTCTTCCTGACAAGTATTCCCTGATCCATTGTAGTGCCTTCCCTGTTATCCCTGCTTGGTCCTCCAGTTTTTGCACTAATCTCTTGTGTGCTGGTCCCTGGATACCTCAGTTTATATGCTGGTCTCTGAATACCTCAGTTTATATGCTGGTCCCTGGTTACCTCAGTTTATATGCTGGTCACTGGTTTACTTGAGTAAACACCGGATCGGCATAGAAATTGCTTGAATTCGTGTGCGTAAATTTTTTGACTGCGGAAGTGTGTGTACGTAAGTACATTCAGTGTGCACAACGCTCAGGAACACAATATGCTTCCTTGGAAAGGATCTCTCCATGCACCAGCTTCTGACAGGTCTTTGGTATGTAATAATCTCAACTAATTACGACTCTTATTAATGGGTATCTTAATTAAGAGCTTGTGAACGATTTTAAAGAGTTTTTCTGCTCTCAGTCCACCTAAAGGCAAGCTTCATTTTGTGACCCCCTGATCAGCTAGGCTTTTGCAACCCACAGCTTGCCGACCCACAGGTCATTGCAGTCTGGCAGATCAGGAGGAACTTGCATTGATCTGTCTAGTTCCCTAATTAAAGGTTTTTACATTTTTTCTAGTATTTTCTGAAAGAAAAATTAAGTGGAGTATCTCGAATGTGTGTAGTGTTCTGCAATAGAGGTAACTCGTGCTTTTCATTTGAAGTTCTCTGCATTGCCCTATCTCTCACTCCCGTATATTGGTGTACAGATTGCGGTCCTGACCTTCAATTATTTAGATGGTTTACCAAGTCTGTGAGCAGTAGACGATCTCTCTGTTTCTACCTCTAATGTCTTGTTTGCCCTTGAAAACAAGAGCACAACTTATTTGAAGAGTACCAACATAGTCGTCACATCTCTTATTTAAATTTTTTCCTAGTCCATCACATCATTTTCCTGATCTACCTGCATATATTTTGTGTTCTAAATGTTAGTTCTGACATTAATTTTATTACATAGTTTTCCTGTTGCCTCCGTTCTCTGACAACGTTTTTGTATCCTGTATTTTTTTTATCTCTTTCTTCTTTTCGTATCCAAGTAGTTGGAATTTGTCACCTTTAGTGTTAGCGTAGAGAGGTTGATGAGCCACTTGCAGGTAAGGTTAGGGTGAGTAAGGGGTGAATTGAGGAGAATGAAGAGAGATGTAGAGTGAGAGCGGAATGAAAAGTGGAGTGAGAGGTAGTGTATAGAGCTGTTATTGTGTTATTGTTGGCAGGGAAGGGAGAGGTGTAGCGCCAGGTTAATTGTGTTTGGAAGGGAGAATATGATGGAAGATGATAAATGGAGGGGAAGGAGGATGATGGTACTGGTAAAAGGAAGAGGGGGTGCAAGTGGAAGATGTGGAAGGAGAAAAGAGGAAAGAGGGATGACATATGGAAAAAATATATAGCTAAATGACTTTACAATGTTATCTGCATAGCCAGTGGATTAGCTTCAGCTACAAGTATTCAGACAGATGAGGCTAGGATAATATAGCAGATGGTTCTCACGTCGTGCAGTGCAAGGGCCCTGCCACTACATTTCCTCCCCCCGAATTTCATATCATTGTGTCTGATCATGGGTTCGCTTTGAATTTCATACAGATTTTTCCTTTTGAATATCAGAGTTGTTCAGTATCAGGACGGCTTCAGTAAGGTTTCGTAGTTTCTTTTTTTAAGAGAAAACAATTTTTTTTCCTTTTAATCTTCCTTCTTAAGGTTTATTTCACTTACCTAGAGCCTTCCAGTGTATCCTCACCTTAACCGTAATTTGGGGGCCCATAGTGAACAGATATTCAGTGTGTTTGTGTTGGGGGGGGGGGAGAAGAGATGTTTGACAAGCACATTATAGTGTCAAAAATTCTGGCGTTTTGTACATAAAATTTCTAGCTATAAAACCTTACATTGCGTTAGCTTTACTGCTTGTGTCTAGGTACGGTTTAGTGCACTTGAGATCGTTGCTACTAACCACTGCAAGGTTGCTCTTTTATATAAGCTAACGGGATTCCTAATATTTTTTAGGCATGTTTAACATTGTTATATTGAAAATATTTAAGTTGATGCAGGACGGGAAAGGATTAGAGAATAGAAGGATGGAAAGGAGGAGGAAGGAAGGGGCTAGAAAGATAGCATAAAATTAAACTAATGTCTAAGCTGTTTAGAGAGCCAAGGTCAGAATAGTAAAGCAGAAGGCTCTTTTCTCACTCTGTTAAGAAAAAAGTGATTGAAAAAAATATTTTGACGTCTTCAAAAGTGTCCATACATTATGTATGTAAAGAAGACTGGAACGCATAGTCTTAGTATTGCTACTACTGCTACAGCTGTTACTGAAGTATTGGTACTGGATAAAAGCAAATGTACTTATAGCTGTAACATTTACTGCCAATAACATTTATAGCATAAGACAGAAGATAAACAAATTACTTAGAGAATTTTATCCCCAGTGTTCTCCACGAATTATACATTATATTACCTGACTGTCTACAGTCAGTTATTGTGTATTAATATATATATGTGAGAGGCAATGTCAGTACTGGGTAAATCATTGAGAACAAGACATCTGTGGTAAGCCATTATTCTCTGCCAGTCGAGAGCATGCGCATGGACAAGGTCACCCTTTGAGTGAGACTGCAGTCAACTTGAGTGTTGCCGGGTGTCCTTCAGACATGGAGCTAAGACTGGCGTCAGAACATATACGCCCTGAGGTGTATGCATCTCACATTATATATACTGAGAGTTTAATCCCTCTTTTTACGGATTAAACCATTCTTGGCTGGTGGTGAACAGGTTACATGCAATTTTAATGACCCTTTTGTAGTCGAAAGTCTGTAAATCCCCATCAGTCATCACCATCAACACAGGCAGAAGCGATCTATGTACCTCATTTACGATGGGTGTCGGCACGTGAGAGCACCTGCCAACTGTTATATTTCTAATAATGTGTTGCATATGTTTTTTGATATCTCTTTTAAAATTTTTTAATGGTTTTAAATCTTTACTCTTTACACTACTGTGTTCATAGAGCAGCATTATTGACCTGGTGATGAAAATTAAGATGCTTCTCGGAACACTGTCATGACGACTGTTTACTCTCTTGTTAATTTTGTTCTTTATTATGTGTGTATGTATGTATGTATACATATATGAGAGAGGGAAGTGGTCGGAGAGAAACAGAGGGCAGTTGAAAGGGGGTGGGGGGATAGACTGGAGGGGTGGGAGATACAGAAAAGGTGGAAAAGACAGATAGGAGGTAAATAAATATAAAGAGAAACAGTAAGTGTAGAATAGGAGTTACAAAGAGAGTTAAAGAGGGGAAAGAGACTGGAAAATGGGAAGGGAGAGAGAAAGAAAGAAGAGAGTAAATGATTGACGAGGACAGGTTGGAGGAGAAAGTGGGGAGGGAAGAATGCAGAAGAAGAGAAGGAATTGTCTTCACAGGGGAATTGTTAGAAGAAAAATTACTCTTGTTATTCTCTTTGTTACCGGACGACACGTAATATATAACAAGTTATTTTGAATTACTGCTACTTTGTTAGTGATGTTACGTTGTTGTTAGTGCTGTTACTGCTGCTGTGTTAGTGCTGTTACTGTTACTTTGTGTTAGTGCTGTTACTGTTCCTTTGTTTTTAGTGCTGTTACTGTTACTATCTTGTTAATGCTGTTACTGCTGCTGTGTTGTTAGTGTTGTTACTTCGTTGTTAGTGCTGTTACTGTTACTGCCGCTTTGTTAATGTTGTTACTGCTGCTTTTTTTAGTGATGTTATTTTGTTGTAAGTATTGTTACTGCTGTGTTACTACTGCTGATTTGTTAGTTGTTACTGTTACTCTGTTGTTGTTGCTGCTTTGTTACTGCTGTTACTTCTTTATTAGTGGTACTGCTGCTGCTGCTACATTGCTAGCGCTAATACTTTGTTAGTACTGTTACTGCTGCTGCTGCTGTTGTTGACGCCTCTATTATTATTAAAACTGCTACTTTTGTTGCTTAAACTGCTATTGTTATAAAGGCTGCTGCTGTTGTTGGCGACTCGATTATTGTTAAGGCTTCGGCTGTTATTATAAATGATGTTAACTGCTGTTGCTGCTGTTCCTTTTGTGAGTGACTGCTGCTGTTGCTACAAAAGTAACTAACACAGCAATAATATGCTCCTGTCATTCTTACCAGCAGTGATTGAGCAGCTTTGAAACAGAGTAAGGTCAACTGTACAGTATTTACAACAGATCTTAATATATTTACAAGAGACCTTAATGTATTTACAGCAGAGTTTAATGTATTTACAACAGAGCTTGATGTATTTACAACAGAGATTAATGTATTTCAGTGAGGTGAAAAGGTTCTTCTGTTTTGTGAAAGCTGAGAACATTAGAGAGATTAGTTTCTATAATTAAATGGACCGGGAGAGAAGGTGAGGAAATGGGGTGGAGAGAGAGAGAGAGAAAGGGGGGTGGAGAGAGAGAGGGGGGAGGGAAAGGGGGTTAGGGAATGGAGGAGGGACTGGCTGCGAAGGATAAATGGTAAATGTTATTGTTGTGGAATTGGTGTGTTGAGTGGTAGGTAGTTGATAGGATAATCTTAAGCTTATCCTAGCATCTACCTCCCTCAAGGGGGCTATGTGCTAGGATAAACATAATATTACTATGATGTGGAGTGAAAATGTTAGAACTATTCATTATATTGACGTTATATCATTTGTTGCAGGAACAGCTGCAGTAGGCGAGAGCCTCAGCAGCTGCAGCAAGAGCCAAGCAGTGGGCAGCAGTCTCAGCAGCAGTCCCCACAGCAGCACCAGCAGCTGGAGGCAGCGGCTCAGGCCGCCAGGAGCCCTGACCACGTCCGTCATGAAGATGGTAAGTGTTGCAACACACGTGTTATATTCTGTGTCTTCTCTTTCTTCCCATGTGGCAAGCCTTACTGGTAACAAATGCTTTCTATTTCCTTAATGTTTGTTAGAGGCTATCTCTGCTGCGGCTTAATTAATCCACCAGTACAGACATTGGTGTCACTAATTACTCACTGGGAGAGCCAAGGAATTTACTAAATTGAAAGTGGTTAAACCGTGCCTACCCCTCAAGGGAACTTCCTTGTTGTTGGTGAGGGGGCTCTTGATCTAGGAAATTCGGTTCGTGCTCCAATTCCTTGAATTAAGCCTGAATGCCTTCAGTTTTCCCCTACAAGCGCTGTATAATTCCTGCGGGTTTAGCGCTCCCTATGATAATATAAACCGCGCCTAAAATGAAGTCAATACATCTAGAATGAACTAGTCAACATGTCAAGAATGAACTAGTCAACACGTCAAGAATGAACTAGTCAACACGTCAAGAATGAACTAGTCAACACGTCAAGAATGAACTAGTCAACACGTCAAGAATGAACTAGTCAACACGTCAAGAATGGAACTAGTCAACACGTCAAGAATGAACTAGTCAACACGTCAAAAAATGAACTAGTCATCACGTCAAGAATGAATAGCAACACGTCAAGAATGAACTAGTCAACACGTCAGGAATGAACTAGTCAACACTTCAAGAATGAACTAGTCAACAAGTCAAGAATGAACTAGTTAGTACTTTGATCACGTGTCAGTTCCATGAGGTGGTATTTTGTACACAGGCCTGTCAAGGCAGAGGATGACGATGAAGGGTTCTTGATTCAAAGAAATGGACTTATCCCATTGAAAAAACCAACCATACCACGGGCGGGGATAGAACCCGCGATCAGAGAGTCTCAAAACTCCAGACCGTCGCGTTAGCGGCGGGTTCTATTCCCGCCCGTGGTATGGTTTGTTTGCAATCGTGTCATTACGATTTCGTGAATCAAGTTATCCCATTGAATCCTAGCCTGAATGGCTCGCATTCATTACCAGGCGCTATATGATTTCTTTGGGTTAAGTGCTTTTCCCCTGATTAAAGAACATAAGAAAGAAGTAACACTGCAACAGGCCTACTGGCCTATGCGAGGCAGGTCCAATTCGCCCACCGGCTTAAGCCAGTGCGTCACGTCACTTAAGGGAGGAGCATAGCATCCGACCTATTAGCACAAACTAGTCGAGTCCAACTCACACCCACTCATTTATCCAACCAATTTTTAAAACTACACAACGTCTTAGCGTCTATGACGGTACTTGGAAGTTTGTTCCACTCATCCACAACTCTATTACCAAACCAGTGCTTTTGTATATCCTTCCTGAATCTGAATTTTCCAGTTTAAAGCCATTGCTGCGAGTCCTGTCTATGTTAGATATTTTTAGCATGCTATTTACATCCCCTTTATTAATTCCTGTTTTCCATTTATACACCTCAATCGTATCATCCCCTAATTTTACGCCTTTCTAGAGAGTGCAGATTCAGGGCCCTCAGTCTGTCCTCATAGGGAAGATTTCTGATACAGTGGTCCCTCGTTTTTCGTAGTTAATCCGTTCCTGGAGTTGCTACTATTATCGAAATCTACGATTTGCCAATCAATTTTCCCGTAAGAAATAATGTAAATACAATTAATCCGTTCCTGACACCCAGAAGTTTTAAAACAAAAAATTTTTTTACATGAAATATAGATGTAGTACATAAACAATACAATGGGAAATGATGAATGAAACATTAACAGCATAACACTTACCTTTATTGGAGATTCTTCTCAGTGTATGGGAGACTGGAGGAAGAGATTGGATTATTTACAGTTTGGAAGGGGAATCCCCTTCCATCAACACCTCAGGTACCAATTGCTTTTCTGGGGTTGCTTCTCTTCTCTGTTTCTTAATGCCACTAGGACCAAAACACACACAATTTAATCTTCATAACATTGTTTTTCCTGAACGCTCTGGGATTTTCAGAATGGTACACTAGTAATGGCTTCACTTTGAAATCCCCACTAGCATTAGCACAAAACATGAGCGTCAGTCTGTCTTTCATAGGCTTGTGTCCTGGCATTGCCTTTTCCTCCTGTGTAATGAAGGTCATATTGTTCAATGATGTTTTTCTTAAATTCAATCGTATTTCTCACCTTCTTTACCACAGGCCTGGCACTAGGCGCTTTCTTTGGAGCCATGGTAGCTTATTTAGTACTTGAAAGCACTAAAATAAGTGGAATATTATGAAATATTTCATAGGAGCATGTGAGGGGACCTTCGCTCACTGGTAAACAATGCCAGACTGGCTGGGTAGGGAGGCCGCCCCGGCTCACACCATGCATACGCGTCCCAGACGGACTACTATTCGCGAGTCAACCTATGATTAGCGAGCCCATGTTTATACGAAAATATCCCTATGATTTCCGAAATCTATGATTCCCGAGAACTACGAAAAGCGAGGGACCACTGTACATTGGATCAGCTTTGTCATCCTCCTTTGTACGTTTTCCAATGCATTTATATCCATTCTGTAATACGGTGACCAAAACTGTGCAGCATAATCTACATGAGGCCTAACCAAAGATATATAGAGTTGAACAACCTGAGAACTTCTATTATTTATACTTCTTGCTATGAAACCAATGATTCTGTTTACTTTATTGCGAACACTAATGCACTGTTGTCTTGGTTTTAGATTACTGCTAACCAGAACTCCTAAATCCTTTTTTGCAATCCGTAATATTAAGATCTACCTTATTTAGTTTATATGTGGCATAGTTATTTTCCTGTCCAACATTTAGAACTTTGCATTTGCCTATATTAAATTTCATCTTCCACTTCTCCGACCACTGCATCAGTCTATTTAAATCATCCTGGAGTGCTCTAGTACTCTAGAGGATTGTACATAGAGTATATATATATATATATGTAAATTAATGGTTCAGAGAACCGACAAGTTGATAAATTGGACACATGTGCAACACTTGGGTATCTTTAATGAGGAAATGTTTCGCCACACAATGGCTTCATCAGTCCATACAAAGGAGAATGGTGGAGAACAGGAGAAGTTTGAGGTAATTAGTCCCTCAGCCTTGAGTCGATGTGGTCAGTCCATCAATCCTGAACAGAATACAGCATATTTGCGGAGAAGTAGCTTATATACCGTAGGCAGGAGAGGTGCAGCAGTCGTAGGTGGTAGCACATTTGTCCAATGTGGAAGTAGGTCGTGCCCAAGGATTAGGCAAGTGAAGAATTCCCTGTATTGAGATCCCAAGATCCTGAGTATCCCTGTATGAGGATCCCATGATCTTAATACAGGGAATTCTTCACTTGCCTAACCCTTGGGCATGACCTACTTCCACACTGGACAAATGTGACACCACCTACGACTGCTGCACCTCTCCTGCCTACGGTATATAAGCTACTTCTCCCGAACATATACCGTATTCTGTTCAAGATTGATGGACTGACCACATCGACTCAAGGCTGAGGGACTGATTACCTCAAACTCCTCCTGTTCTTCACCATTCTCCTTTGTATGGACTGAGGAAGCCACTGTGTGGCGAAACGTTTCCTCATTAAAGATCCCCAAGTGTTGCATGTGTGTTTAATTTATCATATATATATATATATATATATATATATATATATATATATATATATATATATATATATATATATAACAAGTCGGCCGTCTCGCACCGAGGCAGGGTGACCCAAAAAGAAAGGAAATCCCCAGAAGAAAATACTTTTATCATTCAACACTTTCACCTCACTCACACATAAACACTGTTTTTGCAGAGGTACTCAGAATACAACAGTTTAGAAGCATATACGTATGAAGATACACAACCTATCCCTCCAAACTGTCAATATCACAAACACCTGTAAAGTGCAGGCATTATTGTACTTCCCATTTCCAGGAGTTAAGTCCGGCTGTATAAAAATAACCGGTTTCCCTGAATCCCTCACACTCCAACAGCTCGTCAGGTCCCAAATACCATTCGTCTCCATTCACTCCTATCTAACACGATCACGCACGCTTGTTGGAAGTCCAAGCCCCTCGCCCACAAAGCCTCCTTTACCCCCTCCCTCCAACCTTTTCGAGGACGACCCCTACCCCGCCTTCCTTTCCCTACAGATTTATACGCTCTCCATGTCATTCTACTTTGATCCATTCTCTCTAAAAGACCAAACCACCTCAACAACCCCTGTTCAGCCGTCTGACTAATATTTTTATTAACTCCACACCTTCTCCTAATTTCTACACTCCGAATTTTCTGCATAATATTTACACCCACATTGCTCTTAGACAGGACATCTCCACTGCCTCCAACCGTCTCCTCGCTGCTGCATTTACACCCAAGCTTCACACCCATATAAGAGTGTTGGTACTACTATACTTTCATACATTCCCTTCTTTGCCTCATAGATAACGTTTTTGTCTCCACATATACCTCAATGCACCACTCGCCTTTTTTTCTTCATCAATTCTATGATTAACCTCATCCTTCGTAAATCCATCCGCTGACACGTCAACTCCCAAGTATCTGAAAACTTGCTTTTTCCATACTCCTCCTCCCCCAAATTTTATTTTTTTCTTTATCTAAATCATTTGATACCCTCACCCCCTACTCTTTTCTATGTTCACTTTTAATTTCTACCTTACACAACTCCCAACTGTCCACTACCTTTTGCATGTTCCTTTAGAACCCCCCATAAGCACAATATCACCAGCAAAAGTAAACTGGTCAATTCCCTTTTGTATTTTATTGCCCATAATTTTTAAACCCCCCCTCTCCGAAACCCTAACATTACTTTTCTACAACCCCATTTATAAATTATTAAACAACCATGGGGCATTACAAACCCCCGTTAACACCTACTTTTTACCGGGGAAATAGTCTCCCTCTCTTCTACACACCCCAACCTGAGCCTCATATCCTCATAAAAAATCTTTGCAACATTTAGTGACTTACCACCTTTCCCTATCTTGCAACATCT